ATTTACGCCAAAAGCTAGCCAATTTAAGTATTTATTGTAGCATGCAAATGCTGGCTAATTTGTTAAAGTTGAATGACCCACTTGACGAAATGCCCAATATGTGTGTACATACATACATATGGATGCACATCAGCGCACGCGAAATGGCCAAACAAACCACCACCCAGCTAACGAAGTACTTGTACATACACACATATGGGTATGCCTGTCGATAGTGTATTCGCCAGTCGGTCAGTAAGCACTCAGCAAAAAAAAAAAAATTAACTAGAGCTGGAAAGTATTATTTTTTTTTTTAAGTGAAACCCGCTTAAATATGCCCTCACTTAAATACGAGAACGATTTGATAAGTCGGAGACTTTTTCTATACAAGATATTTTTTTGCTTGTTTCTCGTAATAGTTTTCTTTTAGCTCGATGCATTTTACATATCGCTAGCTTAGAGTGAAAAGTTGCTAAGTCCACTTTTTATGAAAACTCATATTTTGATACAAGAGGCTTTATATGTTTTATGTGTGCTCGGTTATAAATATTCAATGAAAGGAAAATTTGCTAAGTCCAAAAAAGCTCCGAAATTGCGATAAGGCCAAAATAGTTCGAAATATTTAATAAAGATCGAATCCCTCTGATTCGTATGGAGTTTTGCTTTGCTTTAAACAGGCAAAATGTTGTATTCAAAGTTTTGCGAAATACTTGAAGAAAATGACTATAAAAAGTTTCTTCCTCTCCTGTACAATTTTTAAATTGGGACTTAGCAACTTTTCATTCTAAGCTAGCGATATACCTATCTCCCAAATAATCGACTTCGTTTGTTTTATTGATGAACTCTTCACTTGACCTAGATGTTTTTTGGGCGAACCGAAACCGTTCTGATTTGGAAACTTGCAAGTGCATGGTTCGTTTATTGGGAGACAGCAGTTCATAAATAAAGTTGTGGATTTTTACCATGACAACTATGTATATGCGTATGCATTTTCCTGGTAGAAGAGCCTTTTTTTCCTTCGCCAGCATCGCATCAGTTCAACAACTCTCAATAGTAATTATCTGCAGATGATCGTTTTGCTCTTAGCTTATAGAATACGTGGCAACCCTCTTAACAATATTTCAGAAATAAAGCCTTTTCATCCCCAATACGATTGACATCCATATTTTAATAATTCACTTGACTTTTTAAATAATTGGAATATTTGAACAGGTGGCAACCCTCTTAAAACTCACAAAAAATATTTATAGTGTTCAAGCTAAAGATTTCTTAACAAACACATATTTGAATTAGGTAATTGCCCCAATTTAAGTTGAGTTGGATTTTTTAAATAGGTGGCAACCCTCCGAAAAATATATATTTCAGAAATAAAGCCTTATCCAAATCATTTCGATGATAGCCATCTTCTAATAACGCGTACAACTTCTTAAATAATTTTCATGTCACTTTATAAGCACGTGGCAATCGTTTTCAAACATTCTAAATGTTCAAACTCAAGTTTTTTCGGCCCCTTTCGTATTTTAAATAACTTGCGAAAAAGTTAATTAAATTCGGCTTTTTAAACAGGTGGCAACCCTCTTTAAAAATAGTTTAGCGCTAAGATACTCTTAAATATTCTTCGCCTAACATTACGATACATATTTTAATTAACTGATAAATTAAGTTGAATTTTATTTTTAAAACATGTGGCAACCCCGCTAAATATAGTTCTGAAGTAATGAGTTTTCAAAACCATTCGATTGATACCCATATTTTAATAATTCATTTAACTTATTCAATAATTTGAAATTAATTTTTAGACATGTGGCAACCCTCTTCCAACACCTCAAAAATATTCTTAATGTTTAAACTAAAGCTTTCTTAACACTCTTTCGTTTGACATCCATATTTTGACATTTCATATAACTTTTGGATAAGTTAACTAATTTCGACATTTCAAGCAGGTGGTAACCCACTTCCAAATATTTTCAAACTACTACTTTCTGATTTTTAGTAAAATCAAAGTGCAAAAGTAAAAGTAAGTTAAATGAATACGATTTTTAGTATTGACTCGATTGCAGCGCTGCCTAGCGAGTAAAAAATATTTCCTCGGTAGGCGATGAACACATAGAGGATAAGTTCCACATCGGACGATGCGTGTATGTATGTAAATACATACATATATGTATATCTAGCGCATAATTCTAAAAATTAAATTTAAAGAAATAAAATGATATATATATATAAAAATTGCGCACTTATACGACTTTTACTGTAGGTGCAGCAGTGTAAACAGCTGGGTGGGTGTTTGAAAGTGGGCTAGTATAGGTACATATGTATGTGTATGAATGCATGCGTGTGAACGAAATGGGTCGATTTTGAGAGTGCACTTAATAGTGAAATATGTACATATGTAGGAATATACCTATTTGCAGACTGGTACAATGTACACACGTACATACATACATGCTTATAAACATATGTACGTCAGTGTGCAAATTCGTGTAGGAGTACTTATATGCATACACACTTTTCCGTTTTTTTTCCCCCTATTTGGTTGATTGCAAAAGTTTGTGGCCAACGAGTAGCCGGCATTTGTTGAATGCAACCGCTCGTACAGCTCTCAGCAAACATTAATAATTTATAAATTAATTGCATGCTACAGCAGCAAAAAACACAAAAAACACCAAAACAACAACAGCAACAAACATCCATGAATTGTAGTGGTAGTTTTGTGCAACTTTCTTTTTCCCCTCTATTAACTATGTATAAGCAATAGCGCGGCTTTTGCTTGTGCTTACTTAAACTACTTAAGTGTTAGTGTTGTTGTTTGAATTACTTTTGTTCTTTTGCGATTTTTTTTTTTGCCTCGCGCTTTGTTGCATTCCATTGTGCGCTTGTGGCAAAAAAGCATGTGGTCTCATTGTATTTGACTACAGGTCTTTGATTTTATGGGTATATAGGGTTCTGGGTGAATCGTTGCATTAATTGCCGCAACCACTTCAGTGGGATTAACTACACAGAGAGGCTTATGCACATGGCAGTTGTGGAAATAGATAAGCATTAACTCGTACATAAAAAACGTTGTATGTTTGTCAGCAAGTGCTAGTAATTTAGCAAAATGGGGCGCAAATACATATCTGCTTATGTATGTATGTACAAAAAAAAAAAAAAAAAAAAAAAACACAAACATCAAATGCGAAGTGAAAATATGTAAAATGCAAAGGCAATTTATAAACGGTCTGCTTTCAAGAGCCATTCATCACCTCGTTTTTAAAGTACTTTTTTTAATTTGCAATCGCTTGTATTTAAGTGGATTTTTTTTTGCATTTCACACATTTAAAAATATTTAAATGAATATTTAAGCTCATTAAATTTTGGCACGGAATTAAGTTTTTAGCACGTTTTTTATTTTTGACATTTGATAGGTATTTAACGCACATTGAGCATAGAAAAGAGACATTATGAAGATAAAAGAGATTTTTTTTTTTTACAAATATGAAAATAATTTTTAAATGTTATACGTATTATCGTCACCTAAGGCTCTTAAAGTTGCCAAGTCCATTTTTTTTCAATTGTTCAGAAGTGACGAAAAATCGATGTAGTTTCGTATTTCCTGCCATTTTGCATCAAAAACTAAATTTTGAAAAAGATGGACTTGACAACTTTTCACCTTTAGGTAGCGTTATATATCTGCACTAGTTGTTTTTTATAGCTGTGCGATTTTTTTAAGATATTTATGGCGTTTAAAATTAAAGACTTATGTAATCTGGTCTGCATGGTAAACTTTGTTATGATAACATTAAAGGTACCTATCCCTGTAGGCTTAAAATATGTTTATATGGGAGGTACCATACTCCTTTTTTCAATTACACTTTATTCTTTACATGAGTACTAAATTCATTTCATATATCTTTGTACCAAATTTCACTGCTCTCTAACAAAAATACTTTCCAAGATAACAAATACTTACCAAGATATGTTTGCATTGTGGAAATTTAAATTTGTGTAGGCGGTGCCTCATGTCCTTGATACATATATCAAATGTATTTTTGGTCTATGACCGCCCTAATGATATGAGTAGTAGGTGTGCCAAATTAGGTTATGATCAGTTAGGCAATACTTAGCACCAGAGTGCACGCGCTCTTTTTTTACACCATTGCACGCGTGGACTACTGTAGTTACGGTGACCATAATTATGACAGCTACATACGAAAAAAAAAATAATTTTTTCTTTGAAACAGCACTTTATTTGCTTTAAAACATAATTTTTTTGGCATATATTGGGATCTCTAAACAGGACCGGCTTGAAAATACCTACAAAAACCTCATTACTTTCATTCCGTCGATAAAATTTTTAAACACTTTTGATCAGACCTTCAAGGCTTAAACTCTTCTATCAAGTGGGGTGATTTTTTAAAACTAATTTTATTTTTAAATTCGAGGGTTTTTCAAGTGGGTCCACGTCACATTAATATATTAATATTAATCATTTTCATGGGAACCCGAAAATGCCTCGTAACCGCGTAAACCACGTAAATAAACTGATTTTCCATACAAAAATAAGTAAGTTTAAGAGGTTAACATAGTTACGAGGCATGTAGATGAATTGTCTTAAAATATTTAATAATTCCCATGGAAAAGCAGTATAGCAGTATTTTTTTTTGTATCGAGAGAAATGCATTCTAATGTACATATATACGAAATTATCTACATTATCCTGATATATAAATATGTAAGTAGTTAACTTGATAGCACAAGTTTCTTCTTACTTATTCGGAGCTAAGTAGTTCTAAACAGACCCTCAAATAACTCAAGCAGCTCAATAAATGCTTGAGGTAAAATTCACCATAAATTGTAGTATTTTCAAAATAAACTGTCAAATAAAAAACTGTAAAATATATTTATAATAACAATTTTCAATAATCAATTAGTTACATGTGCACTTGCATATATGTTGGTTTTATTGCAATTTTTACTAAACAAAGTAGAAGTTTCAAGGCATGAGGGAATATTTCTCAATCTCAGTTGAAAAGTTTGTAATGCCCAAAAAGAAAAAACGCACAAAGGAAGAACCATTACGACGCTATAAATTTAATCTACATAGTTCGTTATTGCAAAAGGAGGATTTCGATAAGAATGCATTGCCCATAGTGTTCAAAGTAACGCCCGACACGCTGCTTAATTTGTGCATAAAAATAGTGGATGGATTGCCTTTACCATCCGTTTATAAATGGACGAATATGGAAGTCTGCAAGTGGATACGTAAATATGGTTATCCTCAATATATGGTGAGCACAACACTAAATAATTCACTGATTCAATCATCTCATCTACATATCGTTGGTCCTCTGCAATAACGACACAATTCAATACTCAAAAAATAAAAACCTTTAGTACTGTTAAATGGCTGACGTCTCTAATCCTTACTCCTCACTTTAGTAACGATTGCATATGAATTAGACTAGGATTAGAGACATGCGCCACTTAACAGTCCTATGGGTTTTTATTTTTGAATTTTGAATTGTGTCGTTATGGCAGGGCACCATCGCTATGTATGTACATATGTATGTATGTACATGCGTATAATTCCACCTTATTTCCAGAATACATTCCGCGTTAATCTTATCACAGGGCAAAAGCTCTTGCTGCTCGATGCACAATCGCTCAGTGCAATGAATATTAAAAATTTCAGTGACATGAAGCATATTGCGTACGGCATTCGCCAACTATTCTTCTATGAAATGACAAAATATGCGCGCAGCATTTCATTGCCGCCTGAATATTACTACGAATTATACAAATTATTTATGGTAAAGAGTGGACCTAAATATGAGGTGGTGCGACGTTCTGATCTCTGGCGGCGCATGCAGTTGTTACGCGAAAAGAGTGCAATTAATTCGCACTGGGATCTGCTGGAACGTTGGTTGGCGCGCATGCTGGGTCAGTCCGAACTTTTCGGCGGCGTACATCGCTATCGGCTGTATAAATGCAAACCGCAGCCCCCACCACAGCCACATAAAATGGCTTTTCCGACACCTTGCCGTTGCATGCCGCCTTGTTCGTGTTACTGGACTGAAAGACATCTGGCAGCGCCGGCGGTATTCAAAATACTCCAAACAGATCGCAAGCCAAGCAAATGTGATCTAATTGAGTGCCGTAGAGGTTTATATAAATTTGACATGCGTTTAACATGTTTGAAAACGAATTTCCCTGGTAAATATGCCAAAGATATGGACGAAGTAGTGAAGAAGCGCCCAATATTCGCGTGTTTGAAAAAAGTATCAATCGATTTGGCGGACTAATACTGAATTATTTAGTTTGATTACTTTTGCGTATATTTTAATATGTATATTTTAATACGCAATCAATGTCACAATAGATATCGTAATGTCCGGTTTCACCAAGCAATTTTAAAACTTGTCAGACTGTTAAAATTTAAAGTGAAAAATTTTCCTAACAAAATTGTGTCATTTAAGATTTTAATAAATTTTAACAATATCAAAATTGATTGGCGCAACTGGTCTTAAGTCTTTTTAATTTTTGTAAATAAAAAATGGGAAAGCCATGTTTCTGTATGAGCCATCATAATTGTGTTGGTATTTTGTATGAGGAATGCTCATCACTGAGTGGAGCTATCGAGCTGAGTTGAGAAAGAACGTTTTAAACATTTGGATTGTAATGTTCACGTTATGGGAAACCAAAATATTTTCGTCTATAATTTGGTTGTGGCATGTGACCACAGATGTATATATTTTTTTATTATATGTGACCTGGTCTACGAAAAGGGAGCTTACGTGCGAAAACTAGTTTTCTGTGAAAAAGCTGTTAAAAGTAAGCAACTCGTTTCGTCAGTTTCTCATTATCTCGTTAATTGTTCTCCGCGCCGGACGTCCAGTAAGTGTTGTTGTTGGTCGGAATATTATTATAGTTATTTTATATATTATTATATTATTATTTTATATATTATTATATATTATTTTTACTCTTCTTTCTCTACATTTTTAGTACACTTCTAAGCAAGTTAGGATTTTCTGCTTTTCACCACGTGAAAAAGCATCTCATCTTCCATCCGAATCAACCAAAAAGTGAAAATTGATTTTTTGACACCTAAGCCCCCTTTCCGTAGACCAGGTCACATATATTATTTATTATATTAAATATAAATTTTTTCCCGGAGAACTTTTTTCACCAATTTTGAGGAAACGTTTTTTTTTTTGGTTTTTCATCATTCCCCATCCTCTCCTGTTAGGTATATTTAAGTAAGAAAAAGACAAATGCCTACTGCACATCATACATATATATATATGTAAGTTTTTACAAGTCTCATATTTTACGTATATCTGTTAATTTCTTATTATTGGAATACTAAATACCTATTTTACCAGTTACAAATACATACATACATATGTTCGAAACAGTGCTGTTAAATTTCCATTACGATTAGTAATCATTATTTTTTGCATTTTTAAATTTTAATGTTTATTTTAATTTTCTTACATAACCCAACAATTAATAAATTATTATAATGTAAAATATTAAAAAAATAATCATGATTAATTGCCATTAAAAAAATAAAAAAAAAAAAAATAAAATACATAATCAAAAATAATCAAATAATTAAAAATAATCAAATTATTTCATTATTATTAATTGGTTGATTATTTTTGATTGTTTCATTGTTTTTAATTGTTTGATTATTTCTAATTATATGATTAGCTTTAATTATTTTTTATAAAACTGGCACCTTGGCAGGCAATTTTTTATAAGTTAATATTAAATAACTGAAACCAAATTCACTGTAGCAGCATATATGTACGTGTATGGTAGTTTACAAGTCAGTAATGATTTTTTATAGACATTATCAACTGCCTTTGCCATTCATTAATACTTTTAGAAAGAATTTTGTAGAGGAAACATTGGAGCAGATATTACATATAGCCATAGATAGGTATATTATTCTCCTTGTGCATTTATCTTATGTTAATGTATTGATTCTCATCCTATGCAGGCACAAATATTAACAGCGTTGCAATTAATTATTCACAAGTTGAAATAAATGATAAAATATAAAAAATCAAAAATAATTGAAAATAATCAAAAATATACAAATAAGTAGAATTCCTTGGTGATTCCGAAAATCGAGATACTTTTTGTTATGGATAACTTTTCGAAATATTTGCAATTACCGTTATTCAGCTTTAAAAAATAATGGTTTCACTTAATCACGCATATCTTACCAACCAATTGAATAATCGTAATACGAGGAAATACGGTAAATGAAAGAAAAGAAAATTCTCCATAAACTGTGTATACATCACTTTTCGATAGCCCCGATAGTTTCTGAGAAATTAATTAATCATTTCTGACGCCTCTTGTTTTCGATGCAACTACCCTGCAGGGAAAGCTACTAGTTGTGAACTAGAATTCTACCGGTTTGCGTTTCAGCCGAACTGGTTCACGTTCTATCCTTTTTCAATGTTAGCGACTGGCATTTTTAACATTGCGATGTCCTACGAGATGTCAATTGTCAGGCTATGCATCAGCATCTACTAGTATAAATACTAGTAGCATCATACCAGTTGATGATATAGTCTGCCAATGCATGCCCCGTGAAAAGCATAAGTGTGCCTTTTTGCTCGCGACGCTCCAGCAGTCACAATGGCCGACAGAGCAAAGCACTCGCGTGGTAAGCCTGAGGTCCCAGGTTCAAATCCTGGCGCAGGGAAAGTTTTTTTATTTTCTATTTTTTATTTTATTTTTATTTTTTATAAATTTATTTTTTTTGTTTACGCTGTTTATTGTAATTTTTAAATTTAATAAAAAAAAATATTTTTGTTTAATTTCTTTGTTTTTATAGCACAAGCATTTCTTCCTAAATGTTTTTTTGCAATGCAATTAGATTATCAAATTTATTATTTATTTATAAATTGAATAAATTATTTTTACTTACATTTATTTAACTTTAAAAATCTTAACCACCTCCAAGCGGCCTCGAATCTGCAATTTCAGAACCAGAACCAGTAGTCTTCACGTGACGCCACAGCCGATATTTGTAAGAAAAGCAATTATAATTGCGTTTTATTTTTGGCTTTGGCAATTCAAAGGCAGATGTCGCTGATCGCCTAAGTTCTTCGAAATTGTCGAACTGGTAGGCACATACTACTTAATGAACTAGTATTTTTTCTAACTGGTTTGGCTTTTCACTGCAGGGTACTCTACCTACTCAGGTGTACGTGGCGTATGAGTAACACTATTTTCTGCTCATATTTCATACAAAAAAACCTTGCGCTAATTCATTTGACCTATCATTATTTTCTTATTTGTCTATCGATTTTCTGCAATAGTAGCTTCGTTTTTCTTCTGAATGAACAGGCTTCAATACAAGAGCAAAATATTTACACAGAAACTGTTATTTTTTTTACTTTTTTTTTGCATTTTTCCAACAAAAAAAACAAATAGTCTGGAATGATTAATTAATTTATGAGACACTCTCAGGGCTATCGAAAAGTGATGTACACACGATTTATAGAGAATTTTATTTTCCTTCATCTACTGTACCCCGCATTACGATTATTTAATAAGTTCATAAGATATATTTGATTAAGTGGAACCACTCTTTTATTTAAGCTGAATAACGGTAAATTGCAAATAGGTGGATAACGTATCCATACGAAAATAACTTAACTCGATTTTCGGAAACAGCGAGCGGTTCTACATACAAATTGGATAGTGGCATCTGGAGAGCAAAATCAAAATTAAATTTGTGATCCAGTGTAATTATCAAAATCATGAAATTAAATTATATTAATAATGTAATTAAAAAAATGCAAAGACATATTTTTGATTGTCAAAGTTACTCGAAAACTGAAAAAGTGATTCGAAAGCGTTTGAGCTAACGGATAACTTGTACTGGCATAGGAAAACACAGTTAGAAAGTTAAAATAATGAATGCAATGTAACATTTTTGAATAGTTTTGCAAAATATGTACTAAAGACAAAAAGCAGTGCCACTAGAGCCTTGATCAAAAAAATGTTAAGGGCACGTCTTATTCGTCTGTACGCTTTTATTGATGTCGCTCTTGTACATACAAACTGAGCGAAATGCACAATATGTACTTAATGCACATGCACATAATGTGCACTTAAGAATTTCATAATTTAAAAAATTAAAAACTCGTGAAAAACGGCTTTATAATTTACCGTTTGCATACGCTCCCACAGTAAAATTGAGACACATTTTCTTCTAATGAGCTATTGTCAATCGATACAACTATGAAATTTTTACACAGCATAAAAGAACAGGTGGCGATAATTTCTGCATCCTATTTAAATAAAAAAAATTTGTTTGGATTATGACACTCTTGCAGCAAATGAGCGATTAATTCGTCAGTTCCTCGATTTTACTTCAGTCCCTCTAAATGTCGCCAAAACAACTCTGTATGGTTCTTAAAAGAAAATTAATTACATCATAAAAAAAAGGTTTGTTTAAAATATAAAAAAATTTGTTTAACAAATAAAGAAGGTTTGTCGAGCATAAGCATCGTATTTTTTTTACAAACAAATTTATTGTTTAATAGACAAATTTTACAAGCATGTTTAACAAGTTATTTAAAAACCCTTCATCTTAAAATAAACGAAAATAAATTCAAACATATTTAATCATTAAGTCGCGTGGCGTGAACAAAAAAGATTGCAATTGCATGTTAGCCTTTTTCGGTGAATTATTGTTTGCATTTCCTGAGACCAACATACTAAATCTAAAAAATTATTATTTTTCTTCTGCTGAAATCGCCTAAGCGATTTTGGCTTTCGAGTCCAAAACAGCGCGCCAGTCATTTCTCTTCTGGGCCAACTGAAAAAATTTCTGTTTTTCTTTCTCCTATAAAATTCGTCTTTCGTCATATACGCAGAAATTTATACGGGAATTATTTATTAACCTTAGTTTGCCCTGCATTGTATTGCTTCGAATGTCCAATGACTAGTTCGGCTACAAATATCACACTGCCCAGCGTCCAAGCGAAACCAAAGAATGGCCACATCAATGACATATAATCCATATCCAGCGGTCGTTCCAACGGTTGTTCCTTATAGAATTTTTCATTGCCTAATGCTTCCAAATATGTCTCCATTGTCCAATAGCTAAGCAGTTCCTGTTCCAAGCTTCTTATAATGAATGAGTTCAACGAATCCTTAAAAATTGAATTTGCTGATAAAGGAATGCAATTTAGAACATTCTTTCTTAAACATATTTCTGTCAACCGAAATAGCGGATACTGCAACCATCTCATTTTCCAAATATTGT